TTAGGCGATTTGATTCATACAAATTTCTTTTTTATATAAGCTTCTTTATAACATACCATTTTATTTCAGCGTGACAACAATCGCTCAATTTAATATTTATAATATTTGTTCTCCCACGTTGTTCCCAACGGCGGTTGGCACTAGCTTTCGGTGTCGCCCTTTCTTTGTGTTGTCCGGCTATAAAAGAATTGTAATTTTCGAAATTAATACATATTGTCCATAATTATAAGAATATATAAACAATTATGCGCACCTGGTGAAGAAATGTCCACGTGTATGAGAACGTAAATAGTTGAGTGGAGATAGCCAGCAGAGATACCTGCAATAGAAGTTATATTAATTGTCAATAATTATAAGAATGCACGAATAATTATACGCACCTGTGAAGTTGAGGGAAATGTCCGCTGGCATGAGATTGTAAGTGGCTGCAAAGATAAATGCAGTAAGAAATGATATTAATTGTTATTAATTTCAAGAAAACGCAACCAATTATATGCACACATTGAAGGAAAAGAATGTCCGGCTAAGGTTAAATTGATGGGGAGAGTGGGCATACCTGCCGACACGGGCTGATGCAGGCCATCTAGTGGCCAAAATGAGGGAGACGAGATCAGGTGATCGTCTCAGGTAGGGCGAGTACGCTGGGTCCGGAACCGGGACCCGATCTGGAAGAGTAAATTGTAAATGGTGTTTTTTTGTTAATTTATATTGAGCGTCTCACTTTTAGCGCGGCCCACCGATAAACAAGCAGCTCCGCTACAATATGGCGCCCAAGTTGGAGAAGCACCCGGCTTCTTTGAAGTCGGGGGGCAGATATCAAAAAAATAAATAAAAATATCAATGCAGGTACAAGGAAAAGTTTCCCTTGGCTTTAGGATCCACGCCGCTGGTGTCTTATGTGGCACCAGTAGGTGGCTCATAATCGCGCAGCGTGTAGTGGAATCCGAGAAGCACGACGGAAGCAGAGATTACTAGGATATCACTGAGCATAAGAAGTTTCTCTTGTCGTGGTTGATGGCGGAAAGTCACGTTCGCATGTGGTGATAACCGCGATGACAAAGGCATCTTGTGATAAAATCTGATATTAGGGTATGTTTTGGTTAGCTTTTGTTTAATGTTTACTATTTGTTTTGCCCCACTCTGTGTTAGTTTAGTTAGTTTTGTGTTAGTTAGCTTTGTGGTCTATGTATATTTATTTATTTTTTTTAATATAAGTAAGATTTGTTGGTAGATGTTTATTTATTTATTTATGTAATGGAATTATTTGGGACGTATCTTTTTTGTATTAGGGTTAGTAAGCCTTATAGTAGAGAGGGGTACGGTTTTCTGAAGCGATCAGTATGGCGGAGGAACTGGTGTCTGACTGGGTTTCTGACGCTGACGGAGCGTCGGCACTGCCACCGCCGCGCCCAGCTAGAGGTCTGGTGCGAACGCCAATGAATTTCCGGGGATTTCCTGAGAGACAGATCCCGGAGGAGGGTCATCTAGTAGACTGAGAGAAGGAATTGGCGCAACAAGATCGACCTCCACGGAACCTAGAGTTCCCGAAAGCGACGAAAGACTCAGTACTTACATCGGAACGCGGCGATAGCTCAGGCCCACTAGACATATCTGCATGCTCTGCCACCTAGCATCAGCGAGTCTATCTGCGAGGAGATGCGAACAGGCTTCTTGGAATTGATGAAAGCGATCATTGATGTGCTTAGGCCGCCAATGCGTCACGCCGGAGAGCCTAACACTGTGCCGATGCCACCGAGACCACGAACCGGCGCCATCCCGAAAGAGCGAGAAGGGATCTAGCGCGAGGCATTTCCAACGCCGGTGCCACCGAGGCCACACAGACAAGACGCACGAGGAGCGGAGTACTTTTCCAGCAGCCCAGTGTACGTTGCAGATACTCAGGCGAGGAACTGGCGTGTTACAAATAATCGTAATTTCCGAGTAGAGGACCGGAGAGCGGATGATTTGCAGCCGGAGGTAGCGTATGCCATACAGCGTACCTGAAGCTCGAGCGGTGGAACGTCAAGTTCGATGGCGAGTATGCCATGCATTCTGTCAAGGACTTCGTGTTCCGGCTGGAGTTCCTGCAGAGGCAATACCAATGCTCATGAACGAGCGGCATTCTAGAGTCGACAGCTGGATGCAACTGCGGCACGCTCTCTTGGACAGGTTCCGGGGCTATCAAACGAAGCATGCGTCAGCTCGCCACACGATTCCAGAAGCCGCTAAGAGACCGAGAACTGGTGAAGATCATAAAGTGTGGTTTGAACGAAAGTCTGGCAAAATACATCTACGCCATGGATGTATCTACACCAAGAGTGCATAGAAGTGTAGAGGCACATTGGTCGCAGAGGCCGGACCGGTACATGCAGCAGTCGCGTTTCGCAAGGACCAAAACCGACTGTTCACGATGTTGAAGATCACCCACATCGTGCGGAATCGCCGCCTGGAGAACTGGAGAACCTACCTCGTGCGAGGTAGGACATCATCCCGGCTAGTGTGCTGGGACTGTAGGCAGTTCGATCATGTCTTTAGAGACTGCCTGTCCAAGGAGCGGCAGATTTTCTGCTACAGGTGCGGAAAGCCGGACACATTCTGCTCACAATGCGAGAGTTGTCCGGGAAACCCCAGAGGGAGCGCGATAATAACGGGACAGACAGTTTCCGTTTCGTGGACGGCGACCGCGAAAAAGCAATCGAGGAGCACCTTCCAAAGCCAATAGGAATGGAAAAAGAGGAGAAGAATACTTGTAAGGCAAGGAACCAAGGAAGAACATTAAGAGGCTTGCCATTTGAAGAACGTGTTCGTGCATACATGTCGGCCCGAAATAAAATTTTTGGTGAGCGACAATTAGCGGGAATCCAAATGAAAGGTTTGTTAGACACAGGAGCCTCATTCAGTCTGCTGGGAAAAAGATGTCGAGAATTAGTAGAAGAATTAGGGGTTCCGGTGCAACCTTACGTTTCATAGAGAAGCTTATCTCCACGGAACATTAAAGGGAAGAGCTCTTGGCCGTGTCGATGACGCATTATATGGAATAAGAGGAAGAATTCGAAGGTGAGCCGGCATCATGGAAATTGTTTTGGGAAGAAAGGATAGAATTGGAGGCGGTAAAGCAGGAGTTTTTGTCTTTTGAACGTAGCGGATTAGGGACGACGGACTTAGAGAAGCACACTATCAAATTAGTGCAAGGTTCCCAACCGTTCAAAGATAGACCCTTCCCATTATCGCCAGCGATGCAGAAAGTAGTGGATGAAAAAGTGGACAAAATGTTGAGTTTGGGGGTTATAGAAGAGTGCAACAGCCCATGGAGTAACCGCACAACAGTAGTGTGAAGACCGGGGAAAAACCTTTTTTGCCCTATGCACGCAAGCTCAACAATTTGACGGTGAAAGACGCGTATCCACTACCCTGTATAGAAGGTATCCTATCTAGAATAGACCAGACCCACTATATCTCCAGTGTGGATCTGAAGTTCGCGTATTGGCAGGTCGAACTAGACGACAAAAGCAAGCCCTATACTGCATTTACAGTACCAGGAAGGCCACTATACCAGTTTCGCGATATGCCATTTGGTTTATGCAATGCAGCCCAACGTCTGGTTCGTCTGATGGAAAAGGTGACTCCGATTTATTAGTTATTTCCCCAGATTTGTACACGCACTTGAAATATCTGCGACAAGTGGGCAAATGCTTAAGGGAAGCGAGCCTCTCAATCGGACTGCACAAATCAAAATTGTGCTTCAAGGCAATAAAATACCTAAGATTCATTATTGGTGGCGGCACGCTTCGCATGGACCCCGAACGGGCTATAGCTATTAAACGAATTCCCGTGCCTCGGTTCCGCAAAGAAGTTTACTCATTTTTGGGTACAGCAGGCTGGTACCGGCGATTTATGCGAGATTTCGCGACTATGGGCGCACCACTAGCCGAAATGTTAAAAAAAGATAGCGGAAAGATTGAATTGAGTGACGAGGCAACACAAGCCGTTGAACAGTTGAAGACCGCCCTGACCACGGCCCCAGTGCTTGGCACGCGGATGTTTCCAAGCCCTTCTTCGTGCAGTGCGATGCGACACAGATCGAAGTGAGAGCTATCCCGTCACTCAAAAGGAGTGCTTAGCATCGGTACTGGCCACTAAAAAGTTCAGACGGCTCATGTGGATGAGACGGCTGGTCATGGGGGTGTCGTGAAAACGCTCGAGACCATACGTCGGCAGTTTTACTGGCCTGGCATGGCTAGTCCGGTAAAGGATTGGCTAAGACAGTGCGTGACATGCAAGGAAGTCAAGGCACCGAACTTCCGCATGCAAGTGGGTCTAGGAAAAGAGATAGGGACCGAGCGACCATTCCAAAAACTGTATATTGACTTCCTGGGAAAGTTCGAAGCAAGGGCACGCTTGGATCTTCGTGGTAGTCGACCATTTTTCAAAAATCACTTTTTTGGAAGCAATGCGAGAGGCTACGGCTCTTAACGTAGTGGATTTTTTAGTCAGCGAGGTTTTCAATAAGTTTGGAGTACCCGAGGTCATCCACTCTGACAATGGATGACAGTTAATGTCAAATACATTTTAAAACATGATCTCAGCTTTCGGCATCTCACACATGGCTACTGCGGTCTACGCGCCACAGAGCAATGCAAGCGAGCGAGTTAATCGTACCGTATTGTCGGCGATCCGGGCGTGTCTACAGCAAGATCACCGCGAGTGGGACCTCTACATTCCGGAAATAGAGGTGCCAAACGCAATGCCATACACACGGCGACAGGGGTGACTCCTTTCTTTGCCGTTTTCGGACATCATATGTTCCTAAATGGGGCATGCTACAAATTGGCTCGTAGGTTAGGGTCTCTTGGTGATCATGAGATTTCTCATTTGCACCCAGCAGACAAAATACACCTGAATAGACAGCGAGTCCAAAGCCAACTACACCAGGCTTACGAAAGATGTCATCGGCAGTACAACGCTCGAGTCCGGCTTTTCCGGGCGGAACCCGGCCAAGAAGTCTACCGACGCAATATTGTGCTGAGCGATTTTGGGAAAGCTTTTAACGCCAAATTTGCAAGAAACTTCCTTAAGGTCAGAGTAGTGCAGCGAGTAGGCAACAATTCGTACCTGCTGGAAGACTTGAAAGGGAAGCCCCTAGAAATTTTACATTCGAAGGACATACGGGTTTAGATCAGGGTCGTGGGTGTGGCCTACGTTGGGCATTCTAATTAGCCGGCTGGGCGAAACAGTATAGGAAATGCGCACGCAGATTCTATTGTAACGGTCGGGCTCGCTCGATTGTTTGCTTAGTTGGTTGCATGCGATATTATCGGCCACGCCGATATCTTTTTGTCATAGGGTCAGATACGCTCTTAAAGAGAATATAGGGAGAGTGTTTCGCATGCCCTTGGATATGCCCTCGGCCTTCATTTGGGCCGTTGACCCAAAAAATGCAGCTTTGCAGATGGGCAGCAACGGTGTCCGCCTCGCAAATGTATGCGTTTGCCGAAATTCGGCACCGATGTTGCTGCCCAAATGTACAGCAGGGGAGTTCGATTTGATCAGCGGTCAACGGCGGGCGTGCCAGCTCGAAGCGAGCTTGAAGTTATAATTTTACATGTCGGCCCCATAAAAATAAAAGTTTTCTTTTTAAAATTAAACAATACATTATTTCTTTTGCAGTATATTAATAAAATCTAAACAAACTCTGTGTCCATATATTTACGCCAAGCTTCACTTTAGAGTGCGATCAGCGAGGGAAAACTTCAAAGGTTATGCATATGCGCCTATAAAATACAAATGTTTAAAATTTAGTACTTGCGCGAACAATACTCACATAATTAATTAATTAATTAAAATAAATTGTTAATAAACATAAAGAATGCAACCAATTATACGCACATATTGAAGAGAGAAATGTCCGGCTAAGTTTAACTTGATGGGGAGAGGGGGCATAACAGCCGACACGGGCTGATGCGTGCCATCTAGTGGCCAAAAAGAGGCAGACGAGATCAGGTGATCGTGTTAGGTATGGCGGGTACGCTGGGTCCGGGACCCGATCTGGAAGACTAAAGTGGATAAATAGTATTTTTTGTTAATTTATAGTGAACGTCTTACCTTTGTTGATTAC